AAAAAAAAAAAAAAAAAAAAAAAAAAAAAAAATCCCGACTCTCGTTCTTCCCGTTTAGTTTGGTTTCAATTGATTCAGTTGACTCGTTTAGGTTTTAAGCTCGATTTCTCTGAATGAATGGATATCGTACCTGATAAATGTTTGGTCAAAACAAGTTTAAAAGTATCAAGGAAAGCTTGGACGACAAGCGAGCTTGCTCTTAGAATAACATGTTTCACGTGGTCTTATTATTTATTATAATTGATGTAATGATATTTGAATGAACCGTGTGTCCATGTACTTCCTTGTCGGTTATGATTACTAAGTTAACAAAATTATGTTGATATGCCTTGTGAGACACTGCAATGTACCATGTATGATAAACATGAATGAAATATTAAATACGAGCATACATATGGTAAGAAATTTTTTAATGTGGAATCTCACGTGTGTTGTATGTCGGACGATTATTAGTTACTTCTCTAGTATGTTATGCAACAGACGTGTACACTACATGACATACTTTTAAGATAAAATCCATTTCACGTACAAATGTGTTCCACCAGCTTTCTTTTTTTAATGGGGTTGCTCTATTTTCCTATCTAGTTTTTGCCCCAAAGTTAGTGGACATCGATGCTAGCCAGACCCAACTTTTCATGATTTAGGTCATCCTATAATAGGCCCAAGAATATGAACAATGTCACTACATAAGTAAACAAATGGCCTCGTTAGTCTACACGGCCCCGACTATTGTTTATCCACGAATCACCTATTAACGTAAAAAAATGAAAGAAACCGATGAGTAGATTTAGTGGTAGGGGTCCTAAGTAAAAGAAATAGAAGAAGCAAAAAAAAGTGGTTCATAGGGTTTGCTTTCAATGTGACAGATTCCTCACATTGCCTTCTTAAGGATTTGGATCTTCCCACATAAAGGGACAATTCAATGCTCTTTTTTCCATTTTTATATTCATCTTTTATTTCACATCATTCAAATCCATCTCTATTCATTTTCTTTTAATATTTATGATAATTAATTTTATAAATATCAATTTAATTCCCTCGTTATATTATGATATTATAATTTACGAGAAAATTACATAATTTATCGATTCATGAACTAAACGTGGGTCATATCAACTCATTTTTCCACGAAATCCAAATATATTCACTTGAGGGTATCCAAAAATAATACCATTATTAAAGTCTTGAGCGAGATAGTTTCTTACGTAATTCTACCCTTCTTTTTTTTTTTTTATTTATTAAACTTTATTAATAATCCTTATCCTTTAAAAATAATAATAATTTTTTTTAAAAAAACTTTTTATCATGGATAGAGACGTCTATAGAGCGGGTGACGACGGAAACCTTCTCCATCTCCGCCGCCCCCACTTTTTTTCAATTCTCATCTCCAGATCGAAAATTTTATTAACTATTTAGAATGAATTTCCGTATCTGACAAATTAAATGAATATCTCTAATCATGGAGCGTTTAAAATAATATTACAAAAAGGATCGCCTCTCACTCTCAGGCAGGCCCCCACCAAGAATCACAAAGTTTGCAACAAAAAAACAGGGGCAGCTCAATCATATTCATATCCCATATCCATTAATGTTCTGATTCCCCATCTCACAATCATATATTATATGGTCTCTCACAACCCTACTATTATATTCCATTTTTTGTCCATGCCCTCTTCTTGTCATAATTTTCCACTGCTCGACGTGTTTAAGATTTGAAATTTAGATACGTGCATGATAGCTTCAATATTCCTCGACATCCCTATACATATCACAGCATATGAGTGAGAACAAAGTATAATGAAAAGATTTGCGTTGACTTAATTTTTCATTTTTAAAAGCAGAGATACAATGCTGGTTACAATTTATGATATCAATATCAACGTAAGTATATATACTCGTTTTCTGGAGTATATATTTGTCTCGAAAAGGAAAAAGAAAATGGGAATATGAAAGGACAATTTATGCTTGTGAGAATAATTAATAATAGAGAGGAGAAAGCAAAGAAAAAGATGAGAAAGGCATCACTTTGTTAAGTCTATGGCCTTTGAAATTCTGATGCTCATCTCCCATCGAGAGGCCCCTTTAAATTTCATTGTGTTTCTTGTAATTCTTTGAGGGAAAATGGGATACAAACAAAACCCATTTGATAAAACATCCCAAAAATGATCTTGATTCAAGAACAACCTCAAGATTGAATGGGAAATCATGATTTAAAATGAAAAGGGTTTGTAACAATTATGAACAATCATGGGAGAGTTGAAGATAATAGACATGAATGAAAGGGTGACCAGGTTCATTGTTCATTAATTTTAACGAAAAAGTTGTCTCAAAGAACCAAATTAAAGGGAAGTTTGGATAGCTCAGCTCAGCTCAGCTGATTTCCCCATTTCAGAAAATTCCAACTTCCACGCAATGTACTAAAAAGGGACACAAACCCTTTCATTGTCAAACCATAGTTTTTTCAATTGCTTCATATCTTGTGGCTTTGTGCCTTTATTTTGGCCCTTTCTCATTCTTTTCCCTCTATAAAACCCTTTGTTTTTGCCATTTGTTATGCACATCTACACTCCAATAATACCCTCTTTGCCTCTTGTCCCTATGGCTGGTGTGTCAAGTACAGCAGCCCATAGGCCAAGTGAGGAAGAAAGTGAGCTAAGAAGAGGGCCATGGACTGTTGAAGAGGACACATTGTTGATTCATTATATTGCTGCTCATGGTGAAGGCCAATGGAACCTATTGGCTAAACAAGCTGGTATTTATACACACTTGCATTCTCTCTCGATTCGAAATTCTCTCGTCTCTTCTTAAATCGTTGTCGTTTTTCAGGTCTCAAGAGAACAGGAAAAAGTTGCAGATTGAGATGGCTGAATTATTTAAAACCTGATATTAAACGCGGGAATCTCACTCTTCAAGAACAACTCCTCATCCTCGAACTTCATTCCAAATGGGGTAATAGGTATATTGACGATCATATTAATTTGATTTACCAACACTTTTTAGAACGTAATTATATAGAATTTGTTTGAAAAGTATCGATATTTGATTGAATCTAAAAAATTTAAGACAAACCCTTATTAGTTTTTGGATATTTAATTTTTTTTTAGGTGGTCCAAAATTGCACAACAATTACCTGGAAGAACAGATAACGAGATTAAGAACTACTGGAGGACCCGAGTTCAAAAACAGTTACGTCAGCTGAAAGTACAAGCTCACAGCAGGAAACTTTTGGATGCCATTTGTCATTTGAGCATGCTAGAAGCCATGGACCAAACTTCCAATTACTCCATCAATTTGCCTCCATCTCTCCATAACATGAACTTACCAAACTCATCGAATAATACTGTTCTTCTTCCGGCCAACCATTGCAGCGGAGCTCCTCCGCCGCCGCCGCCTCCAAGTTCGGTCCAGCAATGGCCTGAAATCTCAGCATGGCCACCAAGTCCTTGTGGTGAATTCATGGAAGCTTGGAGGTTTGACATGGTGGAGCAGAAGCAGCTACATGAGCCAGTTGGTGCATTGGGTGATTGGGAAGTTGGTGATCGTGATGCCCAAATGATAGCACCAGATTGGGTGTTGGAGGATGCCATGGTTGAAAACTTGTGGAGCTTGGATCATCACTTGATGTAATAATATAGGCTAAGTGAACGTTTCAGGCTCATTAAATTATGGGCATAACTTTGATACTCTGTTAGGGACCACAAATCTTCACATTGATATAATGTTGTCCACTATGAAAATAATAAACTCTCATGGTTTTGCTTTTGGTTTCTATTCTGATACCAATTTACCATGACCCAATTTTCGAGGTTTCGAGAAATCAAATCGTGATGAAAGTACAAAATCAAACACAAATAGAACAAAATCAACGTAAAGCAAAAACATTGAAAATGTGAAAATTACGGTAAAATTTTGCACGGTTTTAAAAGAAATGCAATACCAGTGTCAAAAGTTTCAAGTTATTTACAAATGGAAAAAGATTATGAGATATAAAAGAATACAAAATCAATTCTAAAAGTAATACAACTGACCGAATCTAATTTGAGAGAGTCAAATTTTGTGCATATAGTTAGACAAGAAAATCAAAAAAATAACGAGAGAGTTAACGAAGATTCTACAAGTGTGTCAAGAGTGCAGTTTGGACCGAACAATTGTGTTATCAAAATCATAAATAGTTTTATAGATTGAAGCCAAACTCCTTGAGATTTACACATCTTTAAAAAGAATCGAGAACTAATTCAAACATTCATTCCAAGTATATTTAGATTAAAATAAAAGCATTTACCTCTACCATTTAATTTATTTGAATCCTAAGGAACCCATAATAAATTTATAGCACAATTCAATTCTAGTTTAGGATGAGGTTGATTGGACGTTTTCAAACATCATCAAGTTCATGAACCTGAGTCAAGTTTCATCAACGTGAAAAGTATTGGTTTCACTGATAGCCAAATGAGGTTAAACATATGAGACACTTCCACCAAAACTGGAAAACATTACCAAACATGTTCCTTTGAAAAGTTGACCATTGGGTGTCTTTTCAACGGAATAATACTAATAATAAGAAGAATTTTTTTAAAAAATGACTGCTATTTGTCATCCTTGATGGATTTTACCGCTGCTCATCAGCCGCCACCCACTGCAGCAGCCATACTTTAGATAGCAACCAAGATTTTTCTTCCTTGGATCATAACTCTATACCCACTTTCTCACGTTCCTCCCCTGTTTTTTTTTTTTTTTTTTTTATGGTTGAAGTGAACCGTTGAAATCCTATGATTTTGTTGTTGTTCGAGCGGTTGGGATGCTCTAAGGAAATATTGACAATTCATATATGTTGAGAATTGCTAGAGTTCCACCCTGGCTAATTAAGGAGAAGATCATGAGTATACAAGTAGGAGATACTATGTCCTTTTGTACTAGGTCTTTTGAGAAAAGAAAAAGTACAACCAATAAAGCTTATACTCGAAGCGGACAATATCATACTAATATGGAGGGTTGTTGTCCTAACATGATATTAGAATCATGTCAATAGAATTCTAAAGGTGCGTCTTCTTAGAATACCAACGTGGAAGGATAACTAAGAAAATTTTAAAAGAATTGAAAATCATTACCTATACTAGCAAGATACACATTTTTTTCAGTGACTCGGTCATAGGAACTTGAGTGGTCTTGTAGGAAGGACTTGTGTTAGTCTGTGAGGATAGTTTTCACTCTTAGAAGCGATGAATAAGTAACGTGATCATGTCGTAGAGGAAGTAGGAGAATACCAAGATACACAGATGTCAAATCTAAATTTTGAATCCCGAGCATAGATCGTGATACTAATTAAGGAGAATATTTATTGTTGAATAAATATGTAATGGAATTGTAAAGCTACCCACTAAGCTTGAACTGATGTTAAATTATTACATCTTAAAATTTATAGGGATAAGGGCCACGTCTTGGCAAGAATAATAAAAAAAATTTTAAAATTGTTATTAAAAACATCTCTCCTCCACCGATGTGGTGGTCTGGCACACCGTTGTATGTCGGACTCTAACACAATTTGTAACAGTCAAAGTCTAAGGCTAGCGTGATGATGTGCCGTTGGCCTACCCTATTCTCCTAATGCAACCCAACGGGGCATATCATTCAATCCTATTTCAATATACGCTCCTCCAAAGTTTAAGGGTGGATTGAATCCAATCCCATCCAGCGTGCTCGTAATTAATTTATATGTATGCTTAAAATGGAATGCCTTTTTTTGTTGCCGGTGGAAATTGGGCAACTTTCACTATGATTCGATTTATATGAATTGTGTAAACTAATATTATTTAATGAAAATGTAATGGAATTCAAAAGCTAAGCACTATGGTCGGATTAATCTTAAATTAATTTGTTCTTAAAACATTATACTATAAATGAATGAGCACCATGTCCTCTTGACATGTCCACCTCCCATTATCATATTCCAAGTGCTCGTTTTCACAAATCTCTCTCAAAAGTAGGTTTGGTCAAACCTAACCGGTTGAACCAACTTAAAAATGGGGTTACAATCTAACTTGTTAACTAATAAATATTTGATTTTTGAAATTTTATGTGAGATCCCACATAAATTAAAAAGAGGAACAAATGACAACTAGGACGTTGAGTCGAGTGGACACTGGGCAATGTTTCAGCGAGAACACTGGGCAGTTCAGGAAGGTGAAGGAGTGAAGTTTGTAAACTCTCATTAATTTTGAGTCTTTCCTTCCGAAGTTGGAATAGCAGCTCCACCGACCCAACCCGGAGTGGATTCTAGGAGAAGGGAAGGGCGGACATAGCCTTGCAATAGGAGAGTTTTCAGCTCTCTTGGAACGTTCATTGCTTGTAATCAAAATCTTGCGTCTAAATCTAGTCCCACATGAATTGGAGAGAGGAACTAGTGTCAACAAGGACAGTAAACTCCAAAAATAGGTGGATTGTGAGATCCATATTGATCGGAAAGGAGAACACGAAAGATTTTGAGAGTAGAGCAAATTTTGTGTTTCATCTAAAAATTGGAAAGAGATCACACAAAAGCTTAGAAAAGTAGCTTAGAAAAGTAGCTTAGAAAGTGGGCATGAAGATGCATGAGATGGTGCAAGAAAGTGTAAAGAAAACTCCAAATGCTATACAGGTCAGAGCTTTCCCCCTTACCCTCTAAAACAAAAACACACCTTCTATTAACAAATTTAAATGAATCAAATCCCAAACTTTTCCTCCGCCACCTTCCACGGCGGCGAGTACTCCCCGTACTCCCACGGCGCCGGTGATGCCACTGGACCACAGCTCAACTTCTCATCACAAACCGCCTTTACAACACTCTGATCATCAATATCTCTCCAAATATCATCCATCGAATAAGAGTAACCCTTTTCATCCTCTTCACCCATATAACATGACCAATCCCCACCCGTGTCGTAGAAGCTCTCTTCTCCGATATCAATTGTCGGGACCGAGTCAACCGTCGACGAGGACGACGGCGACACCACAACATGATGAACCGCGGCTTTCTTTTTCTCTTGTGCCAATTTTCTCACATGGGTTCGCCAAAAATTCTTTATTTCATTATCCGTTCGTCCCGGGAGCTTCCGAGCAATCTTAGACCATCTAAAAAAAAAAAAAAACGTTAGAATCAAGGTTAGGAATCACGACTCTCCACAATTGTATGATATTATCCACTTTGAGCATGAGCACTCGTATTCACCTGTTGCCCCACTTGGAGTGGAGGTCGAGGACAAGGCGCTCTTCTTGGGGAGACATCTTGCCGCGCTTGAGACCGGGGTGGAGGTAGTTAACCCACCGGAGACGGCAGCTTTTACCATTTCTTTTCAGGCCTGTAAGGGAGGAGAAAGGGGTAGGTTAAAAGGAGGTGGAGGAGGAGGAGGAGGAGGAGAAGGGGGGGTTTTAATAAACCCTACCTATAATTTGTACTCTCCCGCCACCTTCAAACCTGATACTTTGGCGATGAAATCCCACCGGCGATCACCGAACAAACCAACAAAGCAGACCAATTGGAAGTCCTCTTGCTCTGTCCATGGCCCTTTTCTGATACTCTCCTCTTGCACCATGTTGTGTCTTGTTTTTCTCTCTCTTGTGTCTTGTTTTTCTCTCTCTTGTTCTTGTTGTTCTTGTTGTTCTTGTTGTTGTTGATGATTGTGTTGGTAGGAGATTTATATAAGGGGTTAGTTTGTGGACATGGTGGAAGCTGTATAGGCACAACAAATCTCTCCCTTTCATTCTTAATAAAATAATAGCTTATGGGTTTCATATCTTCTTTATCTTGTGATTAAGATAATAGGGAAAAGTTTTCAAGATAACAAAATTTAGTGTGGGTCTTTTTTTTTTTTTTTT